GAAAAAAGTCGGTTTACATGGAAATGATGTATCTATACTAGTCAAACCAAAGATAATCTAAACTGAATGTCAATAGTGACATGAAACATTCTGGATGGTTTACAATGTTTGACAGTGGAGTTTATGCTGTGCGGGACATTTGCTTTTTGTTTTAGATAAAAAGCCATCACACATCAGTCACTTTCATAAATCCCCTTTATTCATTGGATTATTTAAATAAAGAGTTCAGTATCTGAACATGTTTTAAACAAGATCTTCCCTTAAGAGCACAAATGTTTTCTTTATTGGGATTCCAATTGAGAAATGAGTTGAATAAAGTCAAGACATAATAAATACAATGTTCCATCTTCCTGACATAAAAGACGAGAAATCTGAATTAAATACCGACATTGCCAACCTGTCCATCATTCACACCATCACAGATGGCCATTTATGAGTAAAAAAAAGAAAGATTGGATTTGTAGTTCCATGGCAACTGCAGCATAAAGGCTTAGATCCAGCCAATGTTCAAACACAAAACAGGTGAAAACCGATTTTGAAAAAAAAGAAAGAAACTCAATTTGATATGTGCATTTGCTTTTGTGCAAGTTAGAGCATGGACTGTAATATTATCTAACAGCACCCAGCAGGTATTTCAGCAGTGGCGGCCGGCCCATAGGGGGCGCTGGGGCGCCGCCCCCCCTAGATGTGGAGGGGGAAAGTTATAATACATATATTTATTTTTAAAGTATTATCAATGTCAGTTTTACTTAATAATATGTGGGAATTATTAAAACAACACTTCCACCAACTGACTCTCATTCAACGGTGCATTTCCACCCACAGAACGTATCGTTTCTCTTCAGGGGCGCTAGCCCCAGCGCCCCAGAGGTGCAGCGAAAAAAACAATTGAAAAATGTTGCTAGGGAAAATTAATAAATATTTGGCCAATCAGCATCGCCGAAATTATTTGCTTTGGGGCGCTTGGAGCTGGCGCCCCAAAGCCATAGACGTGTAGCTACTGGTCAGTCAGGCTGTGACGTAGAGATGACGGCGACGGCGACAGTTAAAGAGCTGTTTTCACATAATTCAGTGAGATCTTTACTGAGATCTCCTTACGTGAGAAGGACAATGGTGGAAAAATTAAACGTAAAGAAGCTGGGACCTGACAAGTCCGAAATAAATTTAACACAGCGAACCAATGAAAAAGCTAAGTCCTCCAGTCGCCGTTTGAGCAGGAGCTGGTTCCAGCGTGAGTCCTGGCTGACTGCCGGTGGGACGGCCAACGCAGTTATGTTTTTCCCGCATCCTTTTTAAAAGTGACCGGAGTGATTTGACGTGGACACAGTCTGGACAGACAGACTTAAAACACCTCTCTGAACAACTAAGAAACATGAAATATCACGAGGTTATATGGAAAACTGTGTTAAGCTAACCGTGTTAAACTAACCACCTGTGTGCCTACTTTGTGTGTTTGGTGAAAAATAGTAAAATTGAGTGTTGTATTTCATACTGTTCCCTTCCAAAATAATACCTAATATAGCTTCAAATGGTTAACTGTATATGTAAACTGCTGATTCTGATAAGGGAATTAAATCATTATTGTGGAATTGTACTAATTTTACGACTTTTAACTTGAATGCATGTACTGGGTTAGGCAGGGAAATATATTGGCACACCAGCCCCACCAAGATTTTTTTTCACCAGCCGCCACTGTATTTCAGGTATTTCACCACCATGTCAAAAACATCTGCACAGATAAAAAATCATTTAAAATGCAAAACAATAAAAGAGAAAAAAAACACATCTCCCGTAAACTTAAAACCCACTTCGTAAACTTAAAAAACATAAAATGGCTGATCTTCAAGAAAAGGTCCAGTGTCCCGTCAGCAGAGCAGGGCTCTTCTCGTCCCAGTTTAAAAGGCTTTAATAATGTACCGGATCTCCCACCTCTGTCCGGTGCACTCTCGTATGAGAAGTTTGGCCTTTTCAATTTCCAGGCACCTTTTTGTCTGTCTGTTCTTCACCTCTTTGCCCTGGAAGAGAGTTCGAGAGGGTCAGCCTTTTGAACCAGTGTCTTAAATGATGAGAACATCCAAATATGATCTTTCCCCCATTGCCTATTACATTTTATAGTCTGTATTTAGAGTCACATTTCCCTTTAAAAGCAGCCTATCCCGCCGTACCTGAGTGAAATCCCAGAGTATCCCCATTCCTATCTGCATGGCCTCTTTGCAGTTGAACAGGCCCGGCTCGTGTCCCGTCTTGCCGATGTCGGCTAGGCAACGGTTGTCGTTGTACTTGTGGGACTTGATGCCGCCGACGTAGAGTTCACCGGAGGCCCGGTAATACACGAACTAGAATAAAGAGTTAAACACAGCACAGGTGAGTGGCCACATGCAGAACGGACGGTAGTTTACACAACCGCCAGCTGTTTCGCTTACTTGAGGTCCATAGTAGTAGCAGTTGTAGGCGATGGGGACGTGGCCTGGCACCGGACCTTGGTCTATGCACATATTGGCATCGAGATTCTTCATCTGGTGACAGGTAAGCAAAGAGACATAAGGGTGTGTCCTGAAACATAAGGCCGCAAAGTCACTCGCGAACTGACAAACTCACTCCTCCGTAGCCGAGTATGTTATCCCACAGGTCCAGCTTGGGATACACGTTCTCCAGGTACCACTTGAAGGGCTTGCACTTCAGCTTTTCTCGGAGCTGCTTCCTCTCGGTGACGTCCCCGATGTCGATTCCGTGATTCTGACCACGGGGAAAGGACGGCGCCTGATCAGTTTGATTCAGTTCTTTTACAGCGTCTTTCTCAGTCCCTTTTCAATTACCTCAAATGGCAGGTTCCATGCCAGGTTGACGTTGTGCTTGTAGTCGTCCATCCAGACCTCTGCGACCCTCAGGGCGTTCCGCTTCATGGCAGGGTCCAGGTCGGGCATGTAGGGCTTGTGGGCCCTCGCAATGTGGGCGATCTTTGAGCACGGAACGACTTCAATGCTACCCCCACATGTCCACACCTGTGCAAACACAGATGCATGCCGTTATTATCATCACTTTAATTATTATTATTACATATCAAAGCCAAAGGATCTGAGGTGAACCTGTTTTTCAGTCACCAGTTTTTCAGTCATTTATTCTCCTCATTCCTCCACCAGAGGACGTTCAGGTCTGTGATTTTTGTTGTGTTTCATTTTTACCTGTCAGTTGAGGCTAAATTTAACCTTCAGATTAGACTTGGATCTTGAATTTTTTATTTTTTCTATTTTTTTTTAAAATCCAAGTTTAAAAGTTTTCCACTTTATTAAAAAATATTGTTAAAACTACTTTAGAATCATCTTCATCATACTCCAGAATTTGCTGGAAATAAAGGGAACCTATTCTTTTCTGAAATAATCATTAAGACTACATCAAAGAAGATGGTGAAGAAGTAATGAACAGTACAAGACACAGGATAAGATCTGATACTTAATAGCTGATAAATTCTCTTCTTCTGTGTTGTCTGACTTATTTAAGCTCCCAATATGTGAGATTATTACATTAGAAGAACCTGATCGTGACTCCCTTTGCTCTGCATACACTATAAACCAGAGGAGTATGAAGGCGTTCAGTTTCATAATGGAGTTTTCAGCGGTTTGTCATATTTGACTATT